ATTAACAGACTACAGTCTGTTAGGCTTGACAGCCACAACTCCTCCAACCTCAGTCTGAACACTAGTGTACCACAGGGCTGTGTGCTGAGCCCAGTCCTCTACTCCCTCGTCATCCACGACTGCATACCTGTGCATGGCTCTAACTCCATAATCAAGTTTGCAGATGACACCACGTTGGTAGGCCTGATCAGTGGCGACGATGAGACGGCCTACAGGGAAGAGGTTCAGCACCTGGCAGCATGGTTTTCCAACAGCAATCTTGCACTCAACACCCAGAAGACCAAAGAGCTTATTGTGGACCACCGGAGAACAAGGAGAGGCCATACACACACCCATCCACATCGATGGGGTCAAGGTTGAACGTGTGACCAGCTTCAAGTTCCTGGGTGTCCATATCTCTGAGGATCTTTCCTGGGCACTCAACAGCTCTACCCTACCCAACAGCGCCTTTACTTCCTTAGGAAACTAAGGAAAGCTCACTTATCCCCCAGATCCAGCTGAACTTTTACCACTGCACTACTGAAAACATCTTAACAAACTGCATCACAGCATGGTATGGCAAATTGCACTGTCACAGATCAGAAGGCCCTCTAGCAGGAGGTGAAACCTGCCTAATATATCACTGGTGTCCAGCTACCTTCCATCAAAGACAATCATCACATACGCTGCCTACAGAGAGCGAGAAGTATAATCAAAGACACCTCTCACCCCAACCATGGTCTGTTTACTCCTCTACCATCTGGGAAACGCTACATCGCACTAGCAGACTCAGGAACAGTTTCTTCCCATCATCTGTCAGCCTTCTGAATTCTGAACTCAGGCACTGAAGTGTACGTGAGTTCAATTCAATTCAATTCAATTCAGTTTTATTTGTATAGCGCTTTTAACAATGGACATTGTCACAAAGCACCTTTACAGAAATAAATGGATTAACAAAAAATATATTATAAATATTTGAATTTATCACTGTGAATTTATCCCTAATGAGCAAGCCAGTGGCGATGGTGGCGACGGTGGCAAGGGAAAAACTCCCTGAGATGATATGAGGAAGAAACCTTGAGAGGAACCAGGCTCAAAAGGGAACCCATCCTCATCTGGGGGCAACAGATAGTGCGATTAAATAAATAAATCCCTTCTATTATTGTGCGCTATAAGGACAGGTAGTGCAATTGTGCAACCAATAAATTCATCACAGTTTCCACAAGAAGTCCGGTTGGTTAAAATCTATCCACTGTCCACTGATGGAGTCCTGAGTACGAAGCTGCTCGTGGCAACCGCAGCCCCAAAGCCACTACAGCAATCGCAGTCCCAAGCCATTACAGATCCCCATATGTGATCCCCAAACCATCTCCACAGCCCCCAGGTGGCACCATCCCCAGCAAACCAAACGGTTCTTCAGGCCGTCCATATGGGGCCCCAGCAGCAGCGAGCGAACTCAACCGATGAGAACTCCAACCAGAAGTAGGGCATCAGGATGGGTCAAGCAGCGAGGAGGAGCAGAAGGGGCATCAGGATGGGTCAG